TGAAAACAAAAAAAGAACTAGTTTCCTTAGGTTTCAGGGCAGTTCAGAGACAGAGAAAGATACCAGTATATCACCTAGAGATCTTGTTAAAATACAGACTTGGATTCAGTGGCTTTGGGGTGGGATCTAAGATGCTACATTCCTAACATTTGCAGCAATGCCGATAGGTTGGCTCCTGGAACACACTTTACGTAACAAGGGTTTCAAGAGCACAGGCCAGAGGGGGCGTTCCACAAACCTGGATCAAATCCTGGCTTCCCCACTGTACTAGCTGTGTGACACTGGGCTAGTTACTTAACCTCTCTGGCCTGTGTTTTTAATCTGTAAAATGGGGTGAGGGAAGGGAAGACTTGGACTGACCCCAGCGTATTGTGAGAATTGTCACAGTGCTTAAGCACCTACAAGGTAAGCACTTACCTCAGTACCAAGCACAAGGTAAGAATCTAATAAATGGTAACGCTTACCCATTTACAAATTTACCAAGTTTTCACTTTAAGAGTTAGGCTTCTAGTCTCATGCAGAGCTGACAGAATGGCTATTTCTGGCCTGGTGACTGTTGGCTTGCTGCATTGCTTTGCCAAATTATAGCTTAGCTTCAACTAGGTTTTTCCAGTAACGGGCTTGATCTGAGCAGGATAAGGCAGGGAGGACTGAGGACTCCTTATCCAGATTGTGGGTGCTCAGCGGGCTGCTCCCTGCCCCACGGGGCCTGGAAATGCAGGGGTCAGAATGGGACAAAGCTGTTTCTTCTCCATGGTGGCTGCTATTTCCAGCTCATGTTTATGAAATATATATAATTTCAAGGCTTTAACAAGAAAGAGCCTTCCCTCTGTGGTTGATTTACAGAGTCATATTTACACTCTTATTACAAGTTAGCATTCTGGGCTTGAACTCCGTGGGGTTTCCGTGGCTCGTTCTTGGGACAGCCAGAGTTATTAACACTGGTCAAACCGGCTGACCATGTCATTCCCAGCTAGCAGACACGGCTTGCTTGTCGTTTTGTGCCAAGTGTTTGATTGGGTTTGGAGGTGGTTAGAGCAGAATCCTGCCTCTTTGAAATAGAATGCCTCTTGCTGGGGGTTGTCTGCTTAAAACACTCCAAATGCTCTGGAACAATGAGTTAGGACAGCCACAGTCTGAAAGTGAAGCCTGTTCCCAGGAGAGCCAATGACCAAAACTCCAGCATTCTTCCGTGGTCAAGGGGGTGATTATACTCAAGTAAAGTGTCTGGAATTTTAAAGCAACACACAGCACAGGATTCAAATGGCAGCAAGATGTTCAGTCAATTAACTTCTGTCACCAGCATTCTCCTTTGCATGGAGTCACACCGGAAGCACCTCACTCCACTTTCTCTAGCCCTATTCCCCTCTTTGATCTGGGGAAGCACACTCTCTCTCTGTGATTAGACAGCCCTGCAGCCAGAGGGCATTCTTCAAGGCATGAATATTCTTTCATTAATGACTGAGTCTTATCGTTCTTTTTAAACCATCACTCACAACTAGAATGATTTTTCCTTTCTTTTAAATACTCTTATAATTAGCTGCAGAGTTTCACAGATAGGAGTTAAAGGCCAAATTATTGGTTGTTTCTTTCCTTGCTTTTATCCCCCAATTTCGGGCATTCACAGAGAGGATACAGGGGCCTGGCAAAAATTCCTCTTATATTAACAGATAATGGTGGCAAGAAAATGGATTCCCTCTCCTCTTTTTTAGAAGCCCATGTCTCAATCCTGATACCCTGGAGTAGGTAGATACCTTCTCATACATCAGAGGAGGAATTCTGTGCCTTTGATTCCCTAGGGAAGCAACAGAAACCCAGTTCTTGGATTTACTGGCAGGTGGTGAGGAGTCCACTTGCCCTACGTTCAGTACTGCTGTGCATGAGACCCTCAGATTGCCCCATGGGGATCATGCCCTGGGGGTCGCTAAGAACCACTGGGCCTCCTCAACTCAAGAGAAACAGTAGGCTTGAGAAAAAAGAGTTGTATAGGTGGAGATGAGGAGAGATACTTTGTTTTAGGAAAACATGAGCCTCCAGGCACAAAGGAGGCATTTGAACTGATGGAAGGCTCTATCGCCTTGGAAGAAAGAGCATCTGTTGAGGAATCCCAGTCCCAAATCCAATCAGAAAGGGACGTGGGGAGCAGGGGACAAAGAAGAATATGAGAGAGAATGCAGCCTGTAGGCCAGGTTGGGCCTCTGGGGAGAGGAAAGCAAGTTCCTGAGGCCATGTGAAAAGTATACAGCAGGTGGGTCCTCAGTGCTGAAATTTGGTTAAACCAAATGAGATTTAAAAAAAAAAAGTAGAGGAAAATTGCTGTGCTGACATGAGTCACACTCACCTAATGAACATACCTGCACTGAATACTTTGCTCACGGATTTCAGGCAATTAAAAAACGCTGAGGAGCAAGATTCCCTGTCTTTTTCCTTAATACGGTGATTATTATTGTTATTATTATTTTAAAGATAACCCATCGTGGAAGCCCATAGCTTTGCCAGCAAAAACAATGTCCTGCCATCGTTAAAAGTACGTTACAATTTGTGGCTATGTACCCAGCATTTGACATGGAGTGGTGTTCTATTTCAACTCAATTTAATTATATGCTCCTTTTATATATCGTGGCTGGCTCACACTAGCAGAATTGTTTTGCCTGGTGAAAAACTGGCCATGACTTGTCATAATGGGCTGGTTTATAGAACCACTGAAGTATAGTTACTGCCCATCATTCGGGAATTATGGCACCGTAACAACCCTTTATTTACATATACTGCTGAGACAGTAAAAACAGCAAATAGATTTCTTAAATCGAGATGGCAGAAATTTCCCCCCAGGGCACTTGGCCCTCATTGTGGCAGTAACATATGCAAGTCTAAATAACTTTGGTGTCTGTATTTCGGCAGGGCCTCATTGCATGGACAGTTTGTAACATTCTAATAATAAAATGGACTCTAAATTTGGAGTTGGGCTTCACGAACATTAGATGGTAATGTGCACAGCAGAATCCCTAAGTGATTTGTGAGGAAGGTTTAAATTTGCTAATCACACTACTGCTGAGAGACTCTGCAAAGGGGCTCAAGTGTGATCAGTGGCTGGGCTGTTGGAAGGCAGCAGGGCCTTCCACTAGCGGAGTGCCTGACCTAGTTTATGTGAGCACAGAGACCGCATCTGGGGGAAGTCAGGGATTCTTTTATTTCCAGACTCCAAGGACTCAGATGATCCTGGCTTTGCCCTCAAACAATAGAAGCCGTCTATTCCCTTTCCCCACCTTTTTCACCTACCCTGTTTTCTTTCTTTCTTCCTTCCTTTCTTTCTTCCTTCCTTCCTTTCTTTCTTTCTTTCTTTCTTTCTTTCTTTCTTTCTTTTCTTTCTTTCTTTCTCTCTCTCTCTCTCTCTTTCTTTCTTTCTTTCTTTTTCTTTCCTTCCTTCCTTCCTTCCTTCCTTCCTTCCTTCCTTCTTTCCTTCCTTCCTTTCTTTCTTTCTTTCTTTCTTTCTTTCTTTCTTTCTT